CTACTTAAGGGGGACTATCGATTTCTCCCATCCACTTGAAGCCTGGACCTACCTTGACACTGGACACCTCCAACCCAAACCGAAAACCCCACGTGCCCACATACACCTGACTGTGAAACCCCACCCTAAACCCTACCTGGACCCTGGATGTCCTTCCTTTTTGGGTTTTGTCCTACAAGTTTATAGGGTATATCCCCAAAAAGGTAGGACATCCAGGGTCTAGGTAAACCCTAAACCACAGTGGCTCTGGGCAAGGTGTCCGCAAAGCACCTCTTCGAACTCCTCCTCCATACCCAGGACGTCCAGAGGTTCATCCTCAATTGGGGGGTACCTTTAAAGAGTTTATAGCGGTTATTTTAGGGTTTATAAGGGGAGGGCATGGGGGATATAGGGTTTAGGGTTTGCCAAAATTAGGAGTACCCTTTTCAGGGATCCCCAGAATAAAGATCATAGTATTTTGGGATCTATGTTGAAATCCCCCTCTATTTTGGGAAATTACCTATTAGAGCCCCACATCCGGCATTTGTTCAGAGGTCATGTGTACAGGGCGGATTTATGGCTTAGGCTGCCAGCATTCTTAGGAAAAATTGGGAATGGCGTTCAGCCAATGTGGCTTCAGGATCCCGGAGTCCAGGATGTAAGGGAGCAGAAGAAAGGAATCCACACAGCTTCTCTGGGTTGGCCCCTAAAACCCTTTGAAAAAATATTAGCATATAGGGTCCCTTATTAAAGCCATTAGGGAAAATATTAAACATCCCAGGGGCCTACCCAGTTCTTGTTGAAAACCTGACCAAAAGCGACCTGGGAGTCGGACGGAGCCCGAGTCAGAGTCGACACCTCACAAGTTCAGTTTACTGGGTTGTTTCAGTGATAGAGTCAAGTGAGCGTACTATCCGTTTATGAACTACTCTACGCGAAAGGAGTATATACTCTTACTTTGCTACTTGGCGACTACACAATATCCACTGAACACACCACTCAGCTAGTCTAGAAGGGCTTGGTGGGGCTTGGTGGGGCTTGGTGGGGCTTACAAGGCATGGGATCATTGCGTGCAGCCGGGGCTTGACATAGCAAGCTTACGGAGGGTCGTCGTGGTGCTTTACCAGGGCCGCCGCGAAAGTGGATCCCTGCAACCACCTTCACATAAGCCATAGTCTAAACTCCTACTATCCCCCTTAATAAGCCCATGGTAGCCCCCTACAGAATTCCCCTATATAGATCCTTTTATGGAGTTTAGACTTTAGCTCCTACTATCATATATCTCCCTATGATAGTCCTTAATCCTTACTGTATGGCCTGGGGTTGACCTGGCCGCTCTCAGACCCCTTGGAATGTCGCCTCGCAGGTTTTGGAACTCTGTCGGAGGCTATGACATCATGGGTTCAACTATCCCTAAATCACCGTAAGTAAGGGGGGAACCTAGGGGGGGGAAGTATAGAAGGGGGGGTACTAGCTGAACCCATAATGATACGTCTAACTGTGTGGGGAGTTCCTCAAACATGGTGGCCCTTGGGAAGCCTGAGGTTTAAAAAGGGTTTAGGGTTTAGGGTTTAGGGGTCGCCGGTACGGATTCTATAGGGGTCACTTAGCTTGAAGGTCTGCCACAGGTAGCAAATAATCGGGCGCAGAAAGCATTTCAGTGTTTCCGAAGTTTGTGGGTTCTGTCAAACTTGCAAAAGGCTGGCTAGATATTCTGCAGCTGCGCCAATACCCTAGACCCTAAAAACCAAATTCCTAAATCCTAAACCCTCAAACCTAGACCCTACAACGTTATCCGTAAACCCTAGACCCTACTCCCAAACCAGACTAGGCCCCCAGCTATCTGCATCTGTACTGACAGTGGCCTCAGTTGGACATCGCGTTCGGTGCTAGAGGTTGGGATAGGTTTAGGTTTGAAGCCGGGGTGCTTCCGGATGCAGCTGCAACTAACTACATGGTCATGAATGCCGAGTGAAAGGTGGTGCTTCAGATCAGGTACAAACAAAAATGTCCTTTGACTTCACATGGCAGTCGAAGCTGCATGGGATCCTAATTTCGGAAATGAACAATACATATACCTATACATGTATATATATATATATACGTGCATATGCATGAGTGTATGCAAACATCTACATATGCCCTGGTACGAAGGTACAAACATCACCTATCCCCATATCACCCCCCATAAGCCCAAGGCCCTGCAGCACAGGGACCCTAAACCCTAAACC